TTATATAATTATCAAACCAATTTGTAAGACATTCTTTTAAGAATAATGATCCTTATATTTAGATTGTGATTCAACATGTAATAATACAAAGAACATTATAATTTGTTTTAACTTTGAATTTTATACTTGATTTCCTATCTAAAAAACAATTTGATATTCTATTTTCTATCTATTATATATACTACAAGGATGAAAAATATAATTAAACCTAGAAATATAACTTAAATTACTAGGAATATAAAAAGAGATTAAAAATAAAATTATTTCTTGGGAATTTTTAAGGTTTCACTCTCTCCTTATTGGTCCATTTAGCATTTATTTTTTAATTATAATATTTATTTTTAATTAAACCAAATATCTAACACATTTAGTCATATACTTTAATTCATACTTGAAATCCACACTTTACTATTAAATTGTAACTTAAATTATATAACCTTTCAATTGACTATTTGTTTCCTCCATTTAACTTCAATTAACACACTATAAAATATAATTATAACTCTTCTGATTTAATTATTTTAGAATTGTAACTTACATAATATTTTATCCTATAAATACTCATTTTTACATCCTCCTCCACCATATCTGATATTCTTAATATTTTCTTTGTTTAATTTTTAATGTTCTTGCATGGGTTGAAAGCTCAATTAAGATATCATTGTAAGAGCTTGATTATATATTTGGTAAATCTTTTGTTTTCAGTTATATTTCTTCTTTATTTTATGTACTTCTTCATTTTTATTGTTTTTATACTATTAAATGTATAATACATATGTATAATAATATTTTATGGCTATAAGAAAATTACTTTATCGATGGGATTCAAAAATATTGATTTCTGACCATCGCACCATAAGAAAATCAAGATAAATAAACCATTTTCATTATTATACTTTATATGTTTTTTTCTTTCTCACATATTCATGTATATTTATTTTATTTTCAAAATATGTAATTATTTTAACAAAGTATTTTTTGTTATATTCAAACCAATTTGTAAGACATTGAAATAAATAAAATTTTATACACAAATAAAGGTAACTTTTGCGTATATTTATAAGTTTACACACATATTTGGATAAATTTCAACATTTTTAGTGGTTGTTTTGAAAAAGTTTGAAAAGGGGGTAAATTTAAAAAGTGGTATTTTTAAAGGGGTATTTTTTAAATTCTCCCAATATCATTCCTATTTTTATCATTAACAATATTATTGTTTTATCAAAAAATACTTAAAAGTACTAAAGAAAATTACAATCAAAATTAATTAATTGAACAATTAATCAACGAATAAATTCAAATGATATGGATGTATGCTTCTATTGTATGATTTAAATAAATAACATGTAAAAATGTCATAAACATTAAAATTTATTTAATCCATTTTTTATAAGTAATAAATAAATTAAAATAATTAAATAAATATACAACAACCCGCGTATATGCGCGGGACATTACCTAGTTTTTATAAACTCCATAGATCAAATAATATTTAGAGATATTAAGATGAATAACAAAAAAAAAAAAGATTTTAATTGTAGAAAAATGTATTAAGGAAACAAATATAATTGGGCCGATTAGCCCACTAAACAAGAATACAAAAACACAGAAGAGATTTGCCCAAAAAAAAAAACAGAAGAGAAAACAAAAAAAAGAGAAGAGTGGAAAAAAAAAAAACTCCAATTGAGAAAAGTGTTGGTCGGATCGCTGCAAAAGCAAAGAGGGAGAGAGACAGTGAGAGACGAAGAGAATCTATTAATGGCGGCTGCCACAGTACTCAGTCGCTTGTCACTGATACCAAATCTATCTTCTAAACCAAAATTGAAATCAAACAGAAGAATAGCTCCTACAAGTGTTTCTGTTCGAGCTCAAGCTTCGTTCTCCGACCCTTTTGTACTTCATTTAGCTGAATCACTCGAAGACTCTCTCTCAGCTTCTTCTTCTTTACCGCTCCAGAGAATCCGAGAATCTTCCGCTGAGACTCTGTTATCAACACCATGGCCGTCGAGAAAAGAC